AATAAAAAATTATAACTGATGTGCATAAGTTAAAAGGGTTAGTTCAACTACAGCTGGTAGGCTAAACCACTAAGCAATATTTTGTACAGCAATAGGATTTTCCTACTGCACAGACATAAAAGAAATCATGAATATATAACTGATTTAAAAGCAGACTGAGGGGGTAATATCCATGGAAAAACAGGGGAGCCATGAAAAAGGTGAATGTGGAACAGTTTATTTTCAGAAAGACTGGATTATTCTAACCACTGGAAACCAGATAAAGTAGATCAGAGGGAGTGTTACCAAACATACTCATCAGAGACCTTTGCTTTATGGGAAATGAACTGCCCTGGCTCACTGTTCCCGAGGAATTGTATTTCTTGTAGCTGTAAATCAAATCCTGAAGAAACAGGATGGTATTTTCTAAGCAATAGCTGAGGACAACAAATACCTTTTTTGTCAGTGTCAGGTTTCTGAATTTAGACCTCAATTAGGATTCCAGAATGAAAAAGCACATATTGTATAACAATATATACTTGTGACAGTTTTCTTAAAAGTAATACGTTAATTTTCAAACGGCGGCATATTGTTCTATATTTGTCCAAAAGTTGCCTTCAGAGGTCTTGACTTTTATCCTTCCGGCTTTCTCAATGTCCTTCACTGAATAGTAACATAAAGTACTTGATGCTCAGTGAAGATCATAATTTTTTTTCAATTAAATGGAAGCTCTATACTCCTACATCATACGACATCCATTCATTCTTAGCAAGAAATACACTTCTTAAATCAAAAAAGGATGTTAGAGGCCTCTGTATGATAACAGTGTGAACCAAAGGGAAGAACATACGCACAGCATCGTAGTACCAAGAGCAGCGAGTGTCAGTTGCCCTTACTGAGCTCTACAGACAGTGCTAAGACTGATACAAGAGTAACTTTATTAATCTGCTTGATTTCTGATATTGATTTGACATAAAGTGTATCCTGCTAGCTTTAAAATCAGGGACATTTTTTTGTCATTGGAACAAGGACAATGCTATCCATGCAGGGACTCATGGCTTGGTGCAAGTGTATGAACTGCCCTATGCCTGACATGCAGTTCAACCCTGCAATGTTTCTGTGCAGAGGTAAGTAAAAAGAGAGGATCTGACCACCTTCCCCATTCTTACAAGCAGTAAATTAGAACTGGGGGTATGAGTGGTCTTTCTAGGGTGATAGTTTTAGATGTATAACAAGAAAATGTGAAACATTCACCTTCAACTCTTTCATGCCACATACCCTAACAAAGCCCTAGGATAAAGGACTGCATCTGAGCTAGGGGGCAGCTACAGCTGCAGTTTTTGAGGGCTCAGACTCATTACAAATGGTTGCTGCTTAGCCAGTCGCTGCGTGTCAGCTGAGCCAACAGCTCAGCCATGATGCTGGACAGTGTACAGGCTAGAGAACACTATGTTAAGTGATACCTATCAGGATTCTACCAGTAATTCGTTCAACAAACCTGGTGAACATGAACAAAGGAGAAGCTTCCCAAGCTTCTGAAATTACGAAGCATGATAAAATGGGAAACAGACTGAATTGTGACACCGAATAATTGTCTGGGAGATTAGTAAAAAAGCATGATCATTGAAAGCTTGAATGAAACAAGACAGAACAATATCCCTAAACGTTTTGTTTCTGTTTGAAAAAGAAAATACAAAACACAATGCTTCAACAACTTGTGAGTTCACCACCACGTATTTTTGTGTTGGAATAAATGCAGGCATATCTGGAGTTAGAGTGTGAATGTTTTATTAATCCACAATGGCATCAAGCTATAACTAACATAAATCTCTAAGTAGAAATCTTGACTCCACTGAACCTAATGGAATTTTTGCTGTTTACTTCGTTGGGGTCAGAATTTTAGTCCATATAAATTTGCTTTTTTAGGGCATAATCCCCATGTCCATGAAGCCAATGAAAGCTTTTCCATTCACTGTAACTGACCTTTCATTAGGGCAGCAGTTTCCTTACAAAAGACTGTTGTCACTGCTATACTCCATCAGACCTTCTTCACCATTATATTTGTTACGGTCCCATTGCTGAAACTGCTTTTGTCTTCTTTTATCTGAGATAACATTAACAAGACCTGTTTTTCAAAGTTTGTAATGGGCTGCTATGATCTGAAGCCATCAACAGCCCTCTTGATTTTTTCTGTGTGATTTTGTGCAACATCTTCTTTGCTTGTTTTCCTCTTTGATGTCTTTGAATAACCTGGATGAGAAGGCAGGATGTATTGGTCTTACTTTTTCCATTTTTTCTGATATCCTGTCAGCGAATAGGGTGAGTAGTAGTTTTATTTTTGTTTCTTTTTACCCTTTAATCTACCACTGCAATTTGTGATTCTTCTTGATTTAAACTTTAAAACATATTTTCTCTCCTGTAAAAATCAATCAAGATTTTTAGCTGCATTCTGCAGTCCTCCATGAAACACAACCTTTTAGGTTGGCTGCTTTTTCAAGTCTACTTTTTAATAGGGCTTTCTAACCATTACTTAAACTTTGAGCTCCTATTCAAAATATTGCATAATATTGCCTTTTTTTTTTCCCCATTGGAATGTCAAGTAATTATTTCCTATGCTGTACTGGCAAATCTCCTGCATTGTCTATTTTGGGAAATTGCAGTTCTGTTGGATTTTACCTTCTATAGCCAGTGTCTGCAAGTTCCTGAATTATAGCTCTAATTTTATTTGAACTAAACTAGCAGGATTTTCTCTTTCTAGTTTAATTTGAACTTGATTTTCTAGGATGTACAAGTTCCTATGAAGTACTTTGGGGGGGTATGTTTTCTTTCTTTTTTTTTTTTTTTTTTTTTGTGAAGTTGTTTTTCCAAATGCTAGAAAAGTTCAGCATCATTCTGGGCAAATATATGAATTACTTCAGCTTCTGCAGGACTTATAATGGACAGGTGTGCCTCCTGAGCTATTCCCAAGTCTAATTTAAACTTGAAGATCTTTCACCCAGAACATGACTTTGAACATGAAAAGACAAATGCTTTGAATCAGTGTTGATCCTGTTTTGAACACGAAGTAGGAATAACGTCCTAGAGTCCCTTCCAACCTGAATGATTCTATGAGCACCTTGTTCCTATAACCCAAGAGAACAACTATAGATACAAGATGTCATCAGCCTCATCTACTGAAAAAAATATTAGCTTAGCAAGAATAATTAGGCTATAGCCACACAACCAAGTTGGAATCCCACTGAGCAGGATGCTGATAATGGGAGAAAGCCCCTGTGTTTATAAAGCTTGCAATTCAATCAGTTAAACTGGACATACACTGAGAACAGGAACACAGTAAGGTGAAGTGATTTTGTAGAAGTCATTCCTGTCTCCAGGGTCTCCTGAGTCCTAGTCCAGTGCTTGTACACTGGACCACACTGCACTCATGCTGTCTGCATAGGTCTCTTAAGCTTTCTGAAGATGAATGTTTCATAAAGCATATTCTGTTTCAGAGAAGTGGTCATTCAGAAGATTAAGGTCTTTTTCAAATGGGATGTTCATCTCTGCCAGGTGGTATGTTAAGTCTGAGTCATAAATATCTTTTATTTCCTCAGTCAGATAGTGCAGTGGAAGTGCAACTTGTCATTTTTGACTTCCAGTTTCAAGATCACCAAGTAAGTTTCTGAATTTGTTCCTTCATTTCTGAGCAACTGATATATTCTCCTGGATATTAAATGCTCAAAATATAAATGATGCAAAATTACTTTGTTTATAATTTTAGATTTTATTTTTCTTCCACAGAAATGTATCTAACACCTGACCTTCTTATGGCAAATGCACTTTACCTTCTAGAAACTTCAGGGAGTATTTGACAGCTTTACGGAGCTTGACACTGGGGTTGGCTGCCATGTATTATCATAGAGGCTGTCCCGGTTCTCCAGCTTTCCAGTTGCAGTTATCCTCCTATCTTCCCTTGCAGATCAAGCAAGGTACTTTTGGTCTGAAGATTTATACCACCTTCCATTGCAATCATATAGTTTTGTAAAAGCGAATTAAATGTGGCTGTATTTGGGTTGCTACCCTTTTATTAGGAAATGCTAGCAGGACATGATGCAGGGGGAGAAGAGTTATTCAAATCTGGGACTCTGAATTTAAAAGGCAGCTTGCAGATAGTACTTTGCATTAAGAAAAACATACAAGTCAATCATAAATGCAGCCAGTCACTGAAACTTCCAAAGTATTATCTGGCTTCACTGCAGGCACAGATAAATTAGAGATTATGGGCCTAATTCTCTTTTCGCACCAGAGTATATCAGGAGCATCATCACTGAAGTCAACAGATCTCAACAAGAATAGAATTAGGCCCTATGGCTTTTAATAAGAGGAGTACAGAGAGTTTAATTACAAGGAATGGAGCTGGATCTCCCTTCCCCCATACACAGACATATGCACATGCTCTCTGGTAAGGTTTGTCTCTTTTACCCTTTTTGCACTTCTGTTATCCTTACCCTGATCAGAGACTACTCGAGTGCAAATAACAGGGACTAGATGCTATAGGGATGGGGGCCACTTAGATGTTAACACACAGGGTTGTTAAAACACTGGTAGAGCTATAGCTCAGCTCTGTATTGAAAAACCTGGTGAAATCTCAAATATGCTGTAGCTTTTGACCTCCACATTATGACTCAGAAATAAAAAAATAAGGGACGAGTCCATTCCTCATGCTAGGAAGGGAGTTTCTCACCTAAGCAATACCTCTTTGAAGATATATTTACACATAGCATGTGGAAATGAACAGCTGCTACAAACTCCGCTAATACAAATATAATTTTTTATTTCGACATATGTGAACGATCTTACACGTCTATAAAAAGACTTGAAAATAAATCACATAAAAAGTTATAGTTGAGCCACCCTCTATGAAACCCCATGATGCAAAAAGCAGGTGCAAGATGAAGACCCCCAGCCATGGAATATAAATAGTAGTTCAGCAACAATCAAGTGTTGTACCAGACTATTTTGACAAAAACGGAAGTACTTACAGTCTAAGTGACTATGTCTGATGCCTTCCACATCTTCAGCATGAATGAAGTGGTAACATCTCTTTCCTACGATATCTACAGGGGTCAGATCCATGTAATCACTAATCCTAAAAAGGAAAAAAAATACAGCCTATAATTCAAGAAAGAAAAGAAGGACTGTCAAATGACTCAGAAAATTAAATCTGCTAAAAATTTTTTCACTACTATAGTAGTTTGAATGGAACATCTGTGCAAACAAGACACAGCCTCAAACAAAAAAAAAGAAAAAAAGAAAATAGTATTAAAAGAATCCTTGAAACAATTTTATCCATTTAAATAAGTGGAAAGTTAAATTCTAGTGCATATTCTCCCCGTAGCACAACACCAAGACAATATAATTCCATGAAATTGTAAAGCATTAGCAACAATCCAAAATCCTCATTAAAAGTCCAAGATGATTCAAGGTTACAAAATAAAGTGAAACCATGTTATGTTTATACTAAATGATTAGAGACACATTTCATTTTAACAGATTGGTCTTCTATTGGGTATATTCATGAAAAAGCTCTTCAACCATTTCTTGGCACCAAGTCCAAACTGATATTTCAAGGGATATAATTTAAATGCTGAGACATAAAGATGCCTCAGGGTGTTATCTTTTTTAGTTTAATTCATTTGGGAGCTCAGCTTTCACTCTGGGCCCTTTCAACTGGGACTTTGTTGTTTATTGCACATAGAAACTTTAAAATCTATTCTGCAGACCTTTGTGTGCATGTGTCTGTGTGTGTATGTCTGCGTGCGTGTGTCTGTGTGGGTGTGTAGACTTCTGTCATGGAGTGTCAAGATGTCAATGCCCTTAAATGATGTACAAAAACCAGCAAAACAATTGAAAAAAGCCTTGCTCACTCAAGAATTTGAAAGTATGTCTGTTTTCTGGAAATAGAGTAAGTTTTTAGGGCTTGAAATACACTGCAGTGATTGGGGTTAAGTCCCCAAGTCTTCACAATTGCAAGATATAATTTAATATTAAGACCAGTTGTCCTCTGGGTGCTCAGCCCCCTTAGCTGGAAGACAGAGACAGGGAACAGAATGAAGCTCCCATATTCCAAGGGTAAATGCTCAGTGAACTGCAGCACCACATTTAGACACACACTCTGGGTCTAGATGGGATCCACCCTAGGATATGAGGGAGCTGGCCGAAGCGCTCACCAAGCCACTTTCCATCATTTATCAGTAGTCTCGGCTAACTGGAGAGGTCCCAGTGGACTGGAGGTTAGCAAATGTGGCATCCATCTACAAGAAGGTCTGGAAGGAGGATTCAGGGAAATACAGGCCTGTCAGGCTTACCTCGGTGCTGAGGAAGGTCATAGAGCAGATCCTGCTGAGTGCCATCACTTGGCATGTACAGGACAACCAGATGATCAGGCACAGTCAGCATGGGTTTATGAAAAGCAGGTCCTGCTTGACTGACCTGATCTATGAGAAGGTGATGCACTTAGCTGATGGGAGAATGGTTGTGGATGTTGTCTACCTGGACTTTAGTAAACCCTTTGACAGTGTTTCCTGTGGAGAAGCACGCACGAACTCCAAGATGGTGGAAAATGGAATTCGCTTTATTGCAAGCAGGCACACATATTTATACTTATTAGCACGAAGCACTATTTGTGGGTTACAAACAAAAGACCAGACTATGCAGCCAGGGTTGCTATTAGCTCATGTACTCCTTCAATCACTCTCTTACAACACAGGGAGAACACACTTTCCCCGGTCTATTTTGATCATCTCTCCCGTTCACTCCCATGCACATCTTGTGTACAAAAAGCATCTTATCTGTTCATTCTCACGGACAAACTCCCAACACGAGCTATACTTAGCTGGTCAGGGTCTCTCTTCATTATTAGCAAGCAAGAGTTATGTACTTGTTTAGAAAAGAGCTCAAGGACAAAAGTCTTAATCCCGCAACGCAGCGCTGCCAGCTAACTGTAAAATGTAGGGTATCCACAGTTTCCCACCCAATTATCCTGGAGCAACTGGCTGTTGATGGCTTGGCTGCGCAGGATAGTGGCAGAATCATCATCCCTAAAAGTATTTAAAAGATGTGTCTATGTGGCACTTAGGGGCATGGTTTAGCAGCGGACTTGGAAGTGCTAGGTTAACAGTTGGACTTTATGATCCTAAAGGTCTTTTTCTACCTAAACAATTCTATGATGCTATTCTGTAATTCTAAATAATTGCCATCCAGTTAAGGGCGTTGTAACTAGAAGGCTAAACTAGAGACCAAACTGCATAGGTCTGAGGGGTTCCTACCAGGCAGAGGGTGTGAACACAGCCACTGGGGCATGACTAAAAGAGCTGTGTTTACCTGGGTATCTGAGACAGAGACAATGCACAGACCAGAAAGACCGAAGGAGAACAGAAGCATTAGACAGCACCACAGCAGCACTGGTGTTTGTCTCAGTTATACGAAAATGTGGCAAAAAACAATCCTGAAAAACATCTCAGGTAAAGTCAGCAGACTTGAATTTGCTAGTAAAATTTGTCAAATGAAATTCAGCACAAACTACAACAGCCTTTTCTCACTTTCATAGCAGAGCAGGTTGAAGGATGTGCACTTTCAAACACCTGTGAAGTAGTTATAACACTTAACCAAATACGGGAGACCCGTCTAATGTTTATCATAAAGCACAGTTGAAAAGCACCTCCCCTACTTTCTCAGAGAGGACACAACTCACCACAATAAAGACAAGTCTAGAATGGTGCCAGTGGGACTTCCTATCCCTCCTACTGGGCTCCTCCACTTTGGCTGCACAGTGAATTATGGGCTGGGAAACAAATGACCTGGGATCTTTGGCAAGTGATAAAAACCCTCACCAGAGGAAGGAAGTCTGAGAATTAAAGGTTCTTGTCCCCTGGACTGTATATTATCTTTTTATACTAAAATAAGTGTATAAACAGTGCATGAAGCAGGAACCAGAATTCGAGTCTCTCCTCATCTCGTGTCTACACTCTCCTCATTGATACACTTTCCTGTCTCTTCTCTGGTGCAAGAAGTGTGTGTTTTCTGTTAGGAAGTGGCTCTGCTTCGAGACTGCATAGAAGAAATCCCACCCTGCTCAGACTAGTAGAAAGAGGCACTGTCTAGGCAGGCTGCTGCCCTGTGATGTACTCAGGCTGTACACGTGCTGCAGTTCACAGGGCTAACGCGCAAGACGATCATTCTGCATCCCTCTCTGGTAAATTTGACTCAGCTGTATTTTGCTTCTCTGCAGCAGCATGTTTGTGTAAAGTCTTCACAGATGAAAACAAACATAGCAAGGCGAACGTGGAAGCAGATTCTGAATCCAGTAAGTTTAAGGTTGCATCAGAGGAAGTTTAGATTGAATATTAGGAAAAGTTTCTTCACCGAAAGGGTTGTCAAGCACTGGAACAGGCTTCCCAGGGAAGTGGTGGAGTCACCATCCCTGCAGGTATTTAAGACATGTAGATGTGGCACTTAGCGATATGGTTTAGCGGTGGAATTGGGAGTGCTAGGTTAACAGTTAGACTTGATGATCTTAAAGGTCTTTCCCAAACTAAATGATTCTATGATTCTGTAATACTAAGAAAAAGCTGTTTCAAACAGAAATATGAAGAGCCTAGGAATTTTTTTTTGATGAAAAAAGTGGAAGAAGAAACAGAAAGAATATCCAGATATAAGTGATAATCACTGTCAAGCAACGACACCAAAACCAGAAGCAAAAAAATTACATCAAACAGGACACTTACATTTATATCAAAGGTACCAAAGATGGAAAACACATAATTGGCATGGTGAAAAGAAAGAAATAATAAAGTATATCTTAGAGCACTAGTCAGAAGACAGATCTTGTGGATCCCAAGCCCTTTGACACAATAAGGCAATAGATTGATGGGTAGGAACTGTGTTCTGCTGTACACACAGATCTGATCCTGTAAAACATAAGCACAGGCTTACCTTTGAGCAGATCAGTGGTTCCACTGACTTACAGGACTGTTAATATGACTGAAATTTAAAGGTAGGTATATGGTACAGCATGGACAAAATTCTGCAGATATTCAATTCTGCAGACTTGAGGCTCTTTACAAAGGACTGTTTCTGCATATCTGAAGGAATTATACACAACCACTGTCATGACCAATAGGCCAAACTTTCATTTGGAAAACACCATATTCACTGTGTTATTTCCTTTTGGGCACACAGCAGTCCATATTAAAATGCATTATAGGCTCTCTCCAGATGTCCCCCAATTGCTAACAGTTGACACTGAAAATACACAGACTGATACTGTACTCTACTAGCAGTTTCTTTATTTTGCTTTTAATTACCTATCACCGCTGAGATGATGTGTCCTCTGCAGGTTCTTTCTCCCTCCACTGACTAATAAATTCTATACTATTTTAGAGTAGATGGTGATGTTTAGATACAAATCCAAATTTGGAAAACAAACATGGATCAACATACCACATTTTAGGCAACAAACTTTTATATCCCCATTTAACACTCTCATAACAGAATATGGTTAGAAATAGCCAGTGTACTACCTAACAGATCTTGCCTCAAAGGGAAGCTAACTGCTGACTAGTTTGTGAACTGAGTCCAGGATTCTGATGCAGATCTCTTAATTCAGAGGAAAGTAACAAGATGCACCCAAAGACTTGAGTAATGTCTCTCCTGCTCCCTGCTGTTGCAACCGCTTGGAAAACTCGCAGTACTATTGGTCTCACCCCTGCTGATCCAATGGTCCATTGTGAGCATTCATTTCAGTTAAGCAGCATGGCTTCTGCTCCATACTCCCTGCAGTTGCCAGTAACTCCCCATTGCTCCATAAATAGTGCTTACAGCTTCCCCAGCATGGATCCATTTTTCTCTGTTTTCATCAATGTTGTGCTTGCTTTATTGCGGCACCGCAAAGAATTTCCCGGCTGCCCGCAAGTGCCAGGAGTCAAGCCCATATACTCAGGATGGGATACTTATCTCCTTTTCTATAGTCCCAGAAAAGAGATTCAAACTTCCTCAACTCAGAGAATGGCCCTGGCAAATGCCCAGATAATTCATCTGACAGCTTCAATCAGCTGTTCAGTTAATTCTTTCCATTCTTCTTTTCTTTCCATTCCTTCAGCTTTTAGTCATATGCTGCTCTGTACCTGCTATGAAATCCAAGTCCTGTCAATCTTACTCCATTTTCCATCAGTGGAAACTCCTCTGCCTCAGTGAGCTAACATTCACCCCTCAGACCCAGCTGAAGTATTTCTACTTTGTGAAATTCCTTTTATAAACCATTTTTAACAATGACACAGGGGGTTAAAATGGAAGTAATGCAAAATAAATTCAAGTACCATCACAAGCATTCCACCCTAGCATATGAGGCAAAATCCTTCACAAACAAGGAAAAGTTGCTTTGTAATGTTGTCTTCACCTTAATGAATTAAAGACATTACTAAGCTCAACACTTGCATAAGTTAGCCAGTTTACCATGTGCTATCAGCTCTTTCTAAGTGATTACCAATCAGCACTCCACACATGATGCATTTTACACTTTTCTGTGATCCCTTTCTCAGGCATCTGAAAGTCATATTGCTACATGAACATAAAAGGAAGGTTTGAGAAAAATGTTTAATTAAAGAAAACACATATACAGTTTAGAGCTCATGAAAATGCCAAACTGAGAGCAGAGAAAGTATAAATCTTTCTAACATGGTCCACAAATTCTTATCATACTTGACCTGACAGAATAGTTCATTTTTCACATTCGATTCCTGGGGTTTTTTTTGTGGTTTTTTTTTTGGTTGTTTGTTTGGTTGTTTGGTTGTTTGGTCAAACTGAGAGCAGAGAAAGTATAAATCTTTCTAACATGGTCCACAAATTCTTATCATACTTGACCTGACAGAATAGTTCATTTTTCACATTCGATTCCTGGGGTTTTTTTTGTGTTTTTTTTTTGGTTGTTTGTTTGTTTGTTTGGTTGGTTTTTTAATTGAGGTTGCCAGTGAAGGCAACAGTAAGTGCAGGTTGATTTTTTTTTAAAAGGAAACCTGTTCATTAGGAACTGGACAGACACCAGCAGCTCATTTCACAGAGGCCATTAGAAGAGCTCTGCAGTGGTAACAGCTTTCCATTACTACTCAGATAGGTCACAGTCAAATTAAAGACTAAGGCAAAAGGTTTCTTCTAGATCCTACTGCCGATCTTCAGAGCCCTCTCACCAGTTGCCAGATTATACAGACTCTATATCCTCACTGGGTACAGTCACACACAAAAACTCAGCCCAAAATTTCATACTGTAATCAGCTTTCTCTGTGACCTTGTGCAAGCCACTTTCTATGGAGCAATTTTTCCAAATTTAAAACTGAGAATAATATATTGTCTTTTAGATAATGCTTTGGAAGTTTAGATGAAGTGTTCTCTCTGATAGATAATATTAATACTATTGTGACAGTTCAGCAACATGACAGCAAAGGTAACCTCATAAGTGAAATCCAACACTATTTTAAATTATGGCCCTGATTCAAAAAAGCATTTGAATATATCCCTTTGCATAAAAGTTTATGTTGATGAGCTATCCTGATAATACGTATTCCATTCTGACTGAACAATTATGATTACTCATATCAGAGAGATCTCACTCTTAACTTATAATATGCCACAGTTGCTGTCACATGAAAAGCTTGCATTAGTCATTTTTTTGTTCCTGTTTTTGATGATAGGTCCCCTTTACAAAATTTCCTTTGGCTGCATCACCTTTCCTTTTTTCCAAACTTTTCCATCAATGGATCCAAACTTCTTTATTACTTATATCTTGTTTCTCAGATATCTTTAGTCTGCTCTAAATAGCATTACCTAGATTTTATTTTTCAGTGGCCTGAATGCACCAATAAGCTTTAATCATCTTGACCCTGGGCCTTACCACACATTGCCCACAGCCCAGGATCCCATTTCAACTTCCCATGGCTCCCTCCACCCTGCCCATGGCCTAGGACCACATTTCAACCCCTTGGGGTTCCCACCCATGGTCCAGGACCCCATGTTAGCCTCTGCCCCAGTGATGCTGCTCCATCTCCCCATAGCCCTGCCCAGCCATGAGGCCTGCTCAGCCAGGCTCGGTCCATGTCCTGCCCTGGCCTGGGCCCATCCCCAGGGAGGTGTTGGATACCAGGGACCCCCTGGGTCCCCTGCTCCTGGCTGGGGTGGTGGAACCAGCCCTGGCTGCCAGGTCCTTCCCCAGCAGACTCTCATGGGGAGCTCCCATTGCTACCAGCCCCCAGGGAGCAGACAGATGAATTCAAATCCTATCTTCCACCTTCCTAGATAACTTGTTACTATCACATCTAACATCACCCCTCCTCAACCAACTCCTCAACACCTGTTCCCATTTCACTGCTGTCTTTCCTAGCACGCCCTTAACCAATTTTACTCTACGGTTTTCCCACCTCTTACTGCAACTTATCCCACCTCTCTAGCCTACTATCTAGGCCATCTGTGCTTCTGTTCCACTAAACACTGAGCATGATGTGCTGAAATCTGCAAATTAGTCGAAAAATGGAAAACTTTAAAATTTCAGAGAGAAAGACTTGTGGCGAGGAGGATGGGTGAGCATAAGAACAGCCATGCAGGTCTGCCTGACGTATGCCTAGTCCTAAAACTTGCCTTTGAGAGGAACAGTGAGAGATTGTAAGAAGTAGGGAATTCTTCTCTGAGAGAGAATCTTTCCTAGCCTATCCTTCCCTATTCCAGTGACATGTCCTGTAAAGTATAGTTTTTAATTCACCTTTATGCTCTAAGAATGTAATGAAAATGAAGATGATTACAAGACTGAATTCAATGGTCCCATACAACACCAGGATGACACTGCAGGAGTCAAAAATTTCAAAAGTTTTTGCCAAACCCATGGAACAAAGAACATACACAGGTAAAAGAAAGAAAAAAGGAGCTAAAAGCTGTACCTATTTTCACAGTAAATGATATTGAGGTCCATATTCACGCGAGTGACAAACATGTGGCAGTCAATCCTGACTTCATTAATTGTAGGAGGTGGCAAAGCATGAGCAACGACAACAAGTCCCATGATTTGGCTGGGCACTGTCCGTCCGTGAGACAGTGACACTCTCAGACGTAACCGGCCTGTTATATGAATCACCTGAAAAATAAAAATAAAAGAAACTCCAGTGAATTCTGGATGCATCTGTGACATCAGTTTCTTTTAAAGGATAGCATTACTATTCCCTATAGACCACTTAAGACAGCCAAAAATTGTACTAAGTAACTGCCAGTATTAGTGTTAAGCTTATTAATATTGGCTGTCAACACGTCCTCTATGTCCTCACGGCAAAAGAAGAAGACAAGAACATAACAGACAAATGCTTCACATTCATCAAATGAAAACCTCAGAACTCCTGTGATATTGATTTTTGTAGTGGTGGTTGTTACAGAAAGAAAGAAGAAAAAAACCACTGGAAATTCAACACAGGAAAATAGAGAGGGGGATGAAACTAAAATAATGACAGCAGAAATTAATAAAATATCAATTTTACAACATTTGGCAAAAAAGATCAGCAGTCTTCAAACTTTTCCAGAATGGATTTAATTGAATTGCTAGTCAGCAACACCATGGAGACACTGCTCCCAGCCTGGAATTACTTCTTTGTGGTTGGCACTTTGAGAAGCAACAGCCTAGAAGTGATCAATGGGCTCAGCTGCAGGATGGTGTTTCTGCATCCACAGCAAGCTTTCTAAGAGCCGGTAGACATGCAATGCCTCTGTCTAGTACACTAGGTATGTATGGAAAGTTCTGAGGCTGGATGGTTTCTTTCTCTACGCACAAAATAATGCCAGGAGATGCTGGGGAGATAAAACTGTACCCCTGGAGAGTGAAATTCTAAGAATGCTTCCTGAAATGGAGTAAGCTGAAATTCTGGGAAAAGAATAATTCTCCACTTCCAGTTTCACTCCTTCAGAAGCTCTGTGGATAAATATAGGGGTTGGTTTTTTTGAATAAAAAATATAAATACAGCACTAATACCAGATAACATACTGAAAATGGAGACTGCAGTTCCTGTAGTCGTGGGAAAGAGAGCCATAAGAACTGGCAGTTGTGGACTCTCCTACATTTTCACCCTCAGAGCGTGTTACAATACCAACGTGGAGAGAAGGCAGCTTCCAGGAGACAAGGGCTCCTTTCACTGTTACCCCACACTCACTACCCAGAGGCCAACAGAGACGTTGGTGAGATGGGGTGTAGTTATAAATCCACAGATACTTATCTTGCACAGACAGCAAGCAAACTCTTTGCTTTTGATCTGGAATCGATTGTTAACAGAAAGTGAGAAAATCTTTCATTAAAAACTGCAAACCACAAAGTGCATCCAAATTGAAATCTAATTCATGCCAGCAGATCTGTGATCTAAGCCTTGAAGTTTGTTTCTTTTTTTTTTTTTTAACCTAATCATTAAAATATCTCCTTTCTTCACTATTTAATATTTTGAATCCATCCAGTGTGGTGAATCTGAATGAGGAAAGTGATCAACTGCTGTGTTTGTCCATTTCAGTTGCAGGTTTCTGACCACCCACATTTGAAGTAATTATTGTCTAAACTCATACTTAATGCATCTTCCAAAGGCAAACTATTCTATGAATATTTGAAAAAGTTCCTAAAGGCAAGGATGCAAAACCACCATTTCAAACACACTTTTTAGTTTTTTTCCAAAGACCTCATTAACTAATGAAGAAATAGCTAAAAGAAATAGGATTAACTTCACAGGAGGGGCAGTAATAGTATATTTTGCTCCTTCTAGCTAGGCATGCATATACATCTGCTTTTTATCATTATCTGTCTCTTTTTATCATGCAGTTTCAGCTTACTGCAAAAACTCAAATCTGTAAAAGCTTGGAAAAATGCTGATGGATAACTAGTAATAATGTGAAAAATAATCTTATACTGAACGTGCTGTGCAAAAGTATTGTTGTTCTGTTGTTTTTTCGTAAGAGTCCTTATGCTAATATGTTTGAAGTTGGCTCTATCACTTGAGGGAATTTTTAAGATATGTCATACTTGAAATCCATTTATCTCTTCCTTGTATTTTTGAAACTTCCATGTCATTTGCAGCTAAATATTAACAAGATTTGGTTTTGAACAACTCTCTATTCAGACAGTGCCTTACTTTTTTCTGATTCCTCATCTGAAATACACCTCAGATGTAGTCTCACCCCAAGAGACAGCTCCAAACCTGCTAGACCCACCATATATTAACATTGCTGAATTTCAGGAGACTTAGCTTCCAGATTCAAATTATTTAGCTGGTTCCTAGCTCTATCATGGATCAAAATATATTCTAAATCCCTACATGAATTCAAATTTTAGGGGTCAGCACTCAATTGCATTCTGATTCTGTACACTGGGAAATGTACAGCAAACCACCCATCAGTTCCAGTGCCTGTGCGCCTCTAAAGTAACTGTATTTCCATGCCTGAAATCCCTTTCTGTGACAGCATTAGTCAAATGCACCAAGTGGGAAACCTAATTGGTAGTAAAAAACAATTCTAGCTGTCATGACCTTGTCTACATTGTGAGTATTGCCACTTTTAACACCGGTTCATTTGAACTGGGATTAGGGGTGATAGGAATTATAGGGTCAATTATCTCCGGTAGCTAAAATTAATCTCTTTATAATTCAATCCCACAGCACTAGTCTATCATATCCTAAAGCAGTATTATGACTTTAATGAAGCTAAATTGCAAGAATAAACTGTTTTATGAAGGACGATACTTGGACCCAGATGTAAATATTTAGCAAAAATTTGCTAGGAATATTCAGAAAACCAAAGTAAATGCACCTTTTTCTGTGCAGTTTTCTTTATAAATGCTCTCTTCTGACAAGCATGCAACAGTCCAAATCCATCTTTGAATTATAATTGTCTTCCTTCTAATAATGCTGTATGAATACTGGCATATTTAGATGCCACAGCACGAGAAAACAGTGATACTGTCTTCTTTCCATTAAAAAAAGGTGGGTGAATGACAGGGATCATCAGAAACTTTATATGTTAAGAGTTGTACTGATTTCCCCAGCATTTCTCCATTTATCTCCTAAATTAAATTAGGAGTGGCTCCTTTTTTTTTTTTTACACTAATGGGAACTGCATTACATTAACAGATTAGAGACTTTTTTGCTTATAAACTGTTTATTGGTAGATGTTGTAAGTTGCGTGATTTCATCCTATGGAAGTAGAGGAAAATCTTATGGTCAAAACAAACTTTGTGACCTGACCTAGACCAGGATTTGACCTGTCATTCTGACCTTTGTTATTGCTTGTAATGTAACCTAGTTGTATGATAGTTATACTTAGACAGACAGGTGGATGAAACAAAAAGCATTCTGTAACAAGAAAACCTTAAACACTGTGAAATGAAAATAACACATACACTGCTGCAAAGATGTCACGCTGAAGAAAAACAAATACTATACAAATATTCTGTAGTGTTTAATTGCTTTGTTAACAAAATTTTAAATCAAGTCACCTAACACTCCAATATTGGGAAAAAAAGATAATCGTTATTTGGCTTTTATTTTTAGCCGATTAGAAAAGGGATTTGCAAAATATTGTAAGTACATATAAACACAGTTTATGAGTGTGGGAGTGTTAACAAGCCACATTGCTTGGACAAATATATATTTCTTTTCCCTGCCATATGCTCTCTTTAGTCATCTGTTAGTAATAAGCACTTAGATGTGCTCTACTAATGTCTAGTTATTATAAACAAGCACGTCACAGAGACCTTGATAAAACCTTCCCTCTGTCAATAGTTAAGGAAAGGAAAGCCCAGCAATTGAACAACACATCTGGAACCTGCTCACCATCTTTTAAAGCTAAATCTCACCTCTGGAGATGGAAATACTTTCGTTGTCAAAAGACATCTTTAAATATTACATCCATTTTTTCACATGCATGTAATGTCAGAGTAAGGACATGCATTACCAGAGGCTATAAAAACCTGCAAGCACGAAAAATGTGTGAATTTCACCTTTCAGATGTCTCTGTGTTCTTCAAAACCTAAACTTCCATTAGAAAGAGATTTCTAAACTATTTATTTTCTCTGTGTAAATCACTATGCCAATTTATTATGGGACTGAAACCACACCACTGCCAGAAGTGCTCCCTCCACCTCATTTCTCTTACTGAGATAATAAATTTGAAGCCTTAAAATTATGGCTTAGACTGAAATTTTGAGAAGACAGTCACATATGAAAACATCCTAATTTACTTTGTATGCCTAGATGTTAATTTAGTTGTCCTATGAACAACTAACACATATATTTATCTCCCTTTACAGAAATAATTGTGATTCACAAGGATGTGTGTGTATATATATATATAAATATATATATATATTTGTTTTAGTCTTTCAAAGATGTTATTTTATACTTCCAAAATCCACCCCTGAATCTTTAAACCAAAATTCATTTGAACTGCTAAGATTGGCTGAAGAAATATCTTACAAACTATAGCCATGTTCTTACATTTATTTCTTTGAAGACTTGTGTGCTCCTTCACTCATAGATACATGGACATGCATGTCCAAACATGCCACTGCCACTAGCGAAACAAATATTTTAACACTCCACAAGGTAAGGGGTTACTATATGGTTTCAGGTGATCGCTAAGACTGAACATTTGGGAACGGGCTTTCCTCTGGACTTTTCAAAGAAAACAGAGCCCACTGTCACATGTGGAGTTCCGAGAGAAGTATCTTAAAGATTCCCTTTTTCTGAAATCAAAATATATCCATGCTGATCAGTCTACACTTCAGTACAGGTTTCTTTATCTACCACAGTTCTCTTTTTTTCCCCCTCTGTATCCCACTGTAGTTACTACAACATTTCTATTTGCTCGTGTATTCGTGTGGGCAGAAGCCATTTATTCCACAGCCCCATCCTCACCGAGACTAAAGCCTGATCTCCCATTCTTCAGGAAAGATTTTTGACAACACATCACCTGCCTGGACTTACTATTCAGCAGCAGTTTGGATCAGAGAGGTTCAGAAAAGTCTGCAGCTTTACCTGCAGTATTCCTAACAGAAGGTCCCATGGAGCACGACAGTTTGGTGTTGGAAAAGGAGTGAGCCGCTACAACTGCAATATT